GTCCATACTACCTAAAGCAATCTGTAGATTCAAAGCAATTCCTATTAAAACACCAATGGCATATTTCACAGAACTAGAAAAAATATTCCAAAAATTTACATGGAACCAAAAATTGACCCCAAATAGCTTCAGCAATCTTGAAGAAAGAACAACAAAGTTGAAAGTATCACAATACAGGATATCAAACTATACTACAAACCCATTTTAAAACAGCCTGCTACTAGCCTAAGAACAGGTATATAGACAAATGGAACACAACAGAGATCCCAGAAATTAACCCATGCCTCTATGGTCAATTAATATTTGATGAAGGAGGCAAGAGCATACAATGGAGTAAAGATAGTCTCTTTAATAAATGGTATTGGGAAAATTGGACAGGCACATGCAAAAATAAATGAAACTAGACCACCAACTTACACCATACACAAGACTGAACTAAAAAAGGATAAAATTTTAGCATTTAAATTTAAGTCATGAAACAGAACTTATAATACAATTGAACACCAGGAAGACAAACAAACCAATTAAAAAATAGGCAAAGGACCTGAATAGACACTTCTCCAAAGAAGACATATGGATGGCCAATAGACATCTGAAAAAATGTTCAAGGTCACTAATCATCAAAGAGATGCAAATAAAAACTACAATGAGGTATCACCTCACACCTGTCAGAATGGATACTAACAATAACACAACAAACAACAAGTGCTAGGGAGGATATGGATTGTGCATTATTGGTGGGAATGCAGACCGATACAGCCACTGTGAAAAACAGTATGGAGTTTCCTCAAAAAATTTAAAATGGAACTGCCTTTGACCCAACGATCCCATTTCTGGGAATATATCCTAAGAATCTCGAAACAATATATGTACCCCTTTGTTCACAGCAGCATTATCTATACATATAAAAAGGTAATATGCAAATTAGCCAGGATGCCACAATGTGTCACGACCGGACCATTAGCATATTAACTCTTTATTAGCTCCTATCATCAGGAGGCTGCCTGCGCGTGCCTCGGGCATTGCTCTGGAGATGGGAGACGGGGCGGAAGCGGGTAGGCAGGAGCAGGGAAGCGGGAGAGGGGAAGCGGGAGCGGAGAAGCGGGGAGGCGGGACCAGCCCGAGGCAACTCGAGGGTGGGCGGCACCACGCGAATTTGCGTGCTGGTCTCCTAGTCTATATATATTAAAGCCTAAGTGACCGGCCGACTGGCCGAACATCCAGTAGCTATGATGCACACTGACCACCAGGGGGCAGATGCTCAACGCAGGAGCAGAAACCACAGGCATGGAAACATGGAACAGACTGATGAATCTCAGAGGAAAGGGGGAAGCGGGGAGGGCGGGAAGAGATTACCAAAAATCTTATATGCATACTAGAGACCTGGGGCATGGATTCATGCACTGGTGGGGTCCCTCTGCCTGGCCTGCAGGGATCAGGCCTAAACAGGCTCTCTGACATCCCCCAAGGGGTCCCAAACTGTGAGAGGGTGCAGGTCAGGCTGAGGGACCCCACCAGTGCACGAATCCATGCATCGGGCCTCTAGTTTACAAATATCCAAGATCTGGAAACAGCCCAAGTGCCCATCAGCAGGTAAATGGATAAAAAAGCTATGGTATATTTTCACAATGGAATCTGATGCCACTGTAAAAAAAGAGAACTTTTACCCTTTGCAATAGCATGGATGGATCTGGAGAGTATTATGCTAAGTGAAATAAGCCAGTTAAAGAAAGACAAATACCATATATATATTCTCATATGTGGAATCTAATAAACAAAAGAAACTGATAAACAAAATGGAACTGGAAGCAATGGATACACGGAACAGACTGGCCAGTACCTGAGGAGAAGTGGGGGTACCTGGACAAAGGTGAAGGGATTAGCTAAAGAACATATATGCATATCCTACGAGCACAAACAATAGTTTGGTAAGGCCAAGGAAGGGGCAGACGGGGGTGGATGGAGGTAGGCAAAGGATTCCAGGGAAAAAGGGGCACACCAGCAATAATGTCAACATTAAAATTTTTAAGTAAAAATAAAGTGTGGAATGAATAAAAAAGAATAATAAAATAATAAAAAGTTAGTAAAACAATTAAGTAGACTTGTGATAAAAAATAGTAAAATAGCCCTGGCTGGTTTGCTTGGTGGTTAGAGTATAAGGCTGCAGAATAAAGGGTTGAGGGTTCGATCCCCAGCCCCAGACAGGGTGAGTGCAGGAGGCAAACAATCAATGTGTCTCTCTCACATTAATGTCTCTCTCCCTCCCACTCCACTCTCAAACAAAAAAAAATCAATGGAAAAAATATCCTGAGGTGAGGATTTAAAAAAATAAAAATAAAAGGAAAAATAACACAAAAATATAAACAATTTGAAATGGAAAGACTGTGTATGCTTATTTTTGTTAATAAGCCTTCAGTAGTTTTAATAACAAGCAAATTAAAAGGAAAATACTGAAGTCTTTTGGCAGTGATAAAATATGTAGTGAGGACTAGTGATAATAGGGTGACTGTGAAAAGATGCCAGAGGTATTTAGGTAGTAGTGTGTTGTGAGTTGAGTCTGTTATAGATCTAGATGAGCCTTACTGTTTACATGTCTAATCTGAAAAACAATAATAAATTTAAAAATATTGCAGCTTAAACTTAGAAAATAAAATGGAGGCTACCAACTATAGGGAAGCAATTACTATATGTAGGTAATCTATCTAGAACAGCGGTGCTCAACCTGGGGGTCGCGACCCCTTTGGGGGTCGAATGACCCTTTCACAGGGGTCGCCTAAGACCATCGGAAAACACATATATAATTACATATTGTTTTTGTGATTAATCACTATGCTTTAATTATCTTCAATTTGTAACAATGAAAATACATCCTGCATATCAAATATTTACATTACGATTCATAACAGTAGCAAAATTACAGTTATGAAGTAGCAACGAAAATAATTTTATGGTTGGGGTCACCACAACATGAGGAACTGTATTAAAGGGTCGCGGCATTAGGAAGGTTGAGAACCACTGATCTAGAATAGGGTTACTCAAAATATCTGTTATCTTTAATTGGGTGTAATAAAAAGTAGTTGGCTGCAGTAAATTAAATATTAAGACTATGGATTTACTGGATGAAGAAATTACCAATATGCAGTATAAAAACCTATTGAATACTATCTGAAAACCATAAAAACCTTGAATAAAAGTTTATGAACACTCATGTCAAATAGCATTAGAAATAACGGTGCTTAAATACTACTGTGAAAGATCTAATAAAAATAAAAATTATTAAATACAACTTTAATAGTATACATATTTAGGTTTCTAATAAACTTAATACCATCAGATAAATTAGTAACTACACTAATAAAAGACAAACATGCAAATTGACCATACCTTCGCTACACCTCAAGCGACGCCCACCAGCCAATCAGAGCGACTATATGCAAATTAACTTAACCAAGATGGCGGCCGGCAGCCATGGAGCTGGAACAAGCAGGAGGCTTGGTTGCCCTAATGATGGAGGAAGCCAAGCTTCCCGCCTGCCGCGGCCGGCTCTGAGCTCCACTCAAAGCAACAAAGTTTCAATTATAGAAGATAAATAAACCCCGATACCTGCTTTCAGCTGGCCGTGGCCACAGAGCTGGAGCCTTGGGTTGCCCCTGGCGATGGAGGAAGCCAAGCTTCCCTCCCGCCCGCCCTGGCCGGTTCTGAGCTCCATTCCAGGCTACAAAGTTTCAACTGTAGAAGGTAAATAAATCCCAGAATAAAAAGAAAAAAGAAAAAAAGGAGAGGCTGGGACCTTCCGTCGCCCGGGGGGGGGGGTTTGGACAGCCTGAAAATGGCCTTCAGCCCCTCACCCAGGCTGGCCAGGTACCCCAGTGGGGACCCCCACCCTGATCCAGGAAACCATTCAGGGCAAACCAGCCAGCCCCCACCCTGTACCAGGCCTCTATCCTATATAATAAAAGGGTAATATGCAAATTGACCCTAACAGCAGAACAACTGGGAATGACTGGTCACTATGACACACACTGACCACCAGGGGGCAGACGCTCAATGCAGGAGCTGCCCCCTGGTGGTCAGTGCACTCCCACAGGGGGAGCTCTGCTCAGCCACAAGCCAGGCTGATGGCTGCCAGTACAGCGGTGGTGGTGGGAGCCTCTCCTGCCTCCTCAGCAGTGCTAAGGATGTCCGAATGCAGCTTAGGCCTGCTCCCTGCTGGCAAGTGGACATCCCCCGAGGGCTCCCGGGCTGCCAGAAGGATGTCTGACTGCCAGCTTAGGCCCAATTCCCCAGGGAGCGGGCCTAAGCCAGCAGGTGGTCATCCCCTGAGGGGTCCCAGACTGCGAGAGGGCACAGGCCGGGCTGAGGGGACCCCCCCCCCCCCCGAGTGCACAAATTTTTGTGCACCGGGCCTCTAGTTTAAAATATAATAGACAAAAACTTGCTATTTGAACAGAATTCTATAATTCATATTTAAGAAATCTTTCTGCAAGGCTATAGGCAGTATACTACTATCCACAAAAAAGTTGCCTGAAAAGTTAATAAATTTAAAAGACTACAAATTACTAGTTTTATTGTACTGTTAATATGCTTGAGTGAGATAGGTATATCAAATTAATTCTGCAAAACTGATAGCTCAGAAGGAAAAACCAGACAAATGGGATGCTTACAAAACAGAAAAACAAAACAAAACACAAAGTCACTTTATATCTGGGTTTTTATAGAGAATATATTCACCCAGAATTTCCATGCTGAATATGAAATACAATTACCCAAAGAAGATAAAGCACAAATAAGTGAAATTCAATACAATCAGTAAAGAAAAAAAAAATTGCCCTCACAAAATATTCTGAAAATTTTAAAAAGCTGGTCATTTTATGTATTGAATGACATAAGGCAGCTTAAGTTCTCACTGATGTCAAATCCATTAAACTGATAAAAAAAATTTGTGTTAAAGGTAAAAACAAGCATCTTTATAAACATTAGTGGTGATAAATTAAATTTACCTTTTTATCTTCTTTTACTTTGTGGATTTTCTTCTTCATTTTCTTATCATCTAATTCCTGGTCTGAAGTGATTGCAGGATTATCAATACCACCTTTCCAAGTTTCAACAGGAGAAAGAAGGGGATCTTCTTCACTTCCACGATGTCTTCCTTTTCTTTTTGTTTTAGAAGTAGTGAAAGCCTCATCATCACTTGCATCTGAATGTGTTCGTCGATAGTATGACTTGGCTTTACTAAACAGGGTTTTAGATTTATATTTGTATTTTGAAGGCCTTCGTTCCCCATGACTTTTTGAGGTTCTATCAGAAAATCCATTTTCTTCATCTCCTTGGGTGTTATTTACAAATGAATTTCGAATTTTAATACGATTCTGGCTATCATCTGGGACAACATATATCTCATCAGAACAGCCCTTCTGTTTGAAAATTGTATCAATGGGTTCCGCATAGTTATCTGAAGGATCCATATCTTCAGGATGTGCCAAAGGCACCCGGGAAGTCTGTTTTCTTGGATTTTTACCAATACCAGCTTCTATTGTTTTTAAGAGGTTTGGATCCAGTTTCTTCACATTAGTCTTAGGTACAACTGGTTTAGGTTTAATAGGTGGAGGCACTTTATGGTTGCGTTCATGGTCATGACAGTTGGGGGTGCTATGAATAGGATATTCATTTCCTTCCAAATCTAATCTATATCTGGAACGGTCACTAGGTGTTGGAAGCAACTGCACATCATCCCCAATTGGACTATAAGGAGGCGGTGCTTCTGTATCATCATCTGAATCAGGGTAGTTATAGGGAAAATCTCTGGGAGATGGTAGAAAAACATCCTCACTTTGATGGGTTGATTCTCTTGTATTATCAGATAAATAGGAATTTTCTATCATATTTTTTTTCTCTAGGACATCACTGAAAAACAGAGTAAAGACCTCGGTTTGCCGATGATACTGAGATAAAGAATACAATGCTGTAAATTTAGCAGTGATCTCAGTTGCAATGTGTTCTCCTTCAGTCATTAACTCCTTGATGGCCTCATTTTCAAAAAAATCTGCTTGGCTGTCAGTAACTGCCACCAGTTGTACAGGAATGGTGTCCTGAACTTCTGATAGAAATGCTCGAAGCATTCCCATTGATGCTTTCCGTTTGGCAGAATAAACTAATATATATCCATGAACAAGTTCATCTTTCCTTACTCCAATTGAGGAATGATATGATAATATTGTGATCTGTATTCGCCTCCTTTTTTCACCAATGATTTTATCAAGCATTAGGGAATTATTCTGTCCAGCTTGAGCAGCGCTGCAAGAATGAGAATCAAGGAAGGGTGAAAGAATAAGATCCACACTAAATGGATCACCACACATGGCACACATGACAATTCTCAGGTCAGCTTCTGATACATCCTTATTGGTGGGTACTGGGCTCACCACATCTAAATTGTGTTTAACTGATTCTAATACTCCTCTTAGAGCTTGTTTTATTTGGGTTTCATTAAACTTCCGAGGATATGTACCAGCAGGTACATCTACAAAAGGACATTGTAACTTGTTTGCCAACTGTTGCCCTTGATGCCTAAGAATTGGTAGGTTCTTAGTAATAGAATCTCTCTGATTAGCCAGAATTAACGTAAATGGAAGATTAGCCATGTATTTATCTTTTCTGATCTGAGAAGCTTCAGTTCTTATTTTTCCAATAAATTCCCCAATAAAATTCAGTGACTCGATGGAATTAAATACACAGAAGCACCCATGTGGTTTAAAGGCGGCAGTCCATAACTGACTTAAAAAGTAAGGCGAATTGGCATCAACTGGTCGAAGATCAAGTTCATAAATTTTTCCATCTAAGGCATACTCATCATCAGTGGATTGTGTCCTTATCTCATTTGCTAGTTCTTGGGCAAGGCCATCCTTCCCTAAAATAAAAAGGTTAACTTTATCTATATTGGTACTATCATGATACAATCTTAAGCGACCATGATCTAACTGCAAAAGACTACTGGCAAGTAATTGCTCTACTTTAATGTCCATACAATTTTGGCCACTAAGACATGTTTCTTTAGTAGGATGATAAACAAAACCTATATGCTTAAGTAGAAGAGACTCCCTATCAGGTGCAAGTTTCTGTAAAGCTTTATATCTAGGTTCTTCACTCAAAACTGTATGAATTTCACTCATTTTATCTGAACTAGGTGTTGCATTAAGATCTAAATCATAAAAAAGTTCCGAATGCTCAAAAAGCATTTCCTGAAACTCTTCTTTGGCTTTTTCAACTATTTCTCGCTGATGCCTACTATACACCTCTTTGCTGTCAGCCTCTGTAATATACTTGAAGGCTTCATCCTCCATAACAAAGCACATGACTTCCTCCCATGGCTGTCCAGGTGAAATAAACTGAATTTTTTCCAAAGTCTTTTTGAATTTTTCCTTCATTTCTACCCTCCTTTTCTCTGATATTAGATGTTGTACATGGTTCTGATAGACTTTTTCAGCTTCTAAAGTGCTCAGGAGGTCAAATGGGATTCGCCTATCATTAATTTTGTCTATATGGTCAGTTTCATCCCAAGGTGTTTTTTCTAGCACCACAAAACATAACTGAAAATCTGCTCTCTTTTCCATTAACTTCAAAGCTTCTGACCAATTCAAATGTTCAATCTCTTCTAGATTTGGCAAAAGAGTGTTAAAAGCTCTTGGTAAGGTATTTATATATTCTTCTCTCCTTTTTCTTATATGTTCCTGTTTAAGTTGTTCTATATGTTTTGAGAAAGTATTTCGGGCCTTTTTTGTTCCCTCTAAATTGATGTATTCTTCATAATCAGGATGATTTTTTAATTTATTACTAACAGTTTTCCAAGTTGCATGATAATCTCTCACAGTCTGCACAAGTTTTTCAAACTTATCTGTTGCTGTGACAACAAGTTGTCTCTGTGTTTTAAAAGCATCCAGATAGGGAATAATTTTAGGTTTGCCACGAGTTTTATCCAACATTTGTACCAGTGCAGTGAAACATGTTTCAATGTTGACATTCAATCGTGCTGATGTTTCCACTACAAGAAGGTTCTTTTTGTTTGAAGCAAATGCCTGAACTTCTCTAAGATAGTGATCCACGCATTCATCACATTTAGTTGCTGCTATTATTACAGGCTTTTTTGATTTTGATAGTTGGACAAAAAGGTTATTCACAAATTTAAGTTGATCATCAAACTTTCTATTACATCCCTGACTTACATCAATGCACAATAAAAATCCATCTACATTGAGCTTTCCTTCAGGCATTTGCTTCTGTTCAAAGTCTTGCTCCAAGCCTAGTTGATCAGTGCAAATGTACATTAGTTTTTCTGCTGACTGCAATTTAGAAGCAGCTGCACGTTTTATATACGGTTGTAAATTTGTACTCCGATGAGGCAAGAAAGTCTGGTCATCAATGAATTCTGTTTGTTCAATGACATGAATTTTGCATTCTACTCCATCTTCACCATTTAGTGTTATGTCACCCCAGTACAAAAAGTGATCATTATTTACTACTCGTCCTCCAAAGTCAATGGTGCTGAGCACAGAAGTATGCTCTGGATAATATTCATCTGCTTTTGAGCGTACAAATCTATTGCACAAACAAGACTTTCCAACTCCACAGTTACCTTTGTCTTTTTCAGTCCCAGAGAGTCCAACTATACTGATAGTGTAGGATGGGGGGCGCGGCTCTTTGTTTTTTGCCATCATAACTCTCTTCTCATGTCTCTACATTCATAAAGATAACCAGATATACTTCTCATTCCGAAAATAAAAAATCATCTCAAAATATAGATCCTGAATTTCAGAACTATATTTGGTTCTTTGTATTTCCCTCATTTTTGTGCAAAGGTCTTCAAGATCATCAAATGGATCATCTGCCTAGAAAGAGGAGAAAAAGAACAAATCTTAATAGTGAATTATACATTAAATTATATACATATTAAAGATATTCATAACAAAGCACCACACAAGTTAACAATGTTACATATATTTTTAAAAAACACCATAAAATGTCTATGGTTTATTGTTATAAATGTGAAATGACTTCAAAATTTAAGGCAATTCTAACAACTAACATTTAAACTAATACAAAATTTATTATCTCACAAATTTTAAAATAAGCCCTTATTAACCAAATGATCATTCTGTCTCTACTCTTTTCTACGAGTTTAAGGAAACAACCAGTCCTTTCCCTTCCCCTCAATTTTCCTGCCTTCTATGACTGGAGGCTATGTTTTGTGATAAATAAATTATACTAGCTGCTTTAAAAACTCCCTCACAAACTTTACAAACAACCTGCTTTCTAATCTTGTTCCTTAAAATGAAATTTCATATGAATTTATTAGTAAGATTTTAGAATGAAAAAAATTTAAGAAGTTTTAGCACACTGTGAAATCTATAAAATATTATGCCCAAAGACAATTAAGATATGACATTATTTAACTAGATACATGTTTCTCAAATTATCTAAGGTGAAGAACTAATTTTTATTCCATATCTACAAGCCCACTTTTGTAAAATAAAAATTTTTTAAAGTCTAAGCCCCAATTTCTTATTAGATTCAAGAGACATAAAATTGTCAAATTGTTTCTAAATGTTCTTGATTTCTGCATATATTTCCTCTCAGAGGAGTTACGAAGTGCACCACATTTTGAGCAGCACCAAGCTAAAGAATTTTAAGATTATATATTCAAGACAATCTTTTAGAAATATAGCACTAGCTGGTTTGGCTCAGTGGATAGAGCGTCGGCCTGTGGACTGAAGGATCCTGGGTTAGATTCCGGTCAGGGGCACATGCCCAGGTTGCTGGCTGGATCCCCAGTAGGAGGCGTGCAGGAGGCAGCTGATCAATGATTCTCTCTCATCATTGATGTTCTCCCTTCCCCTCTGAAATCAATAAAAATATAAAAAGAAGTATCTTATATACCAGCAACATTAAATAACTTTGAAAAATTCCATGTAATTTAACTTAGGTTACTTATGTGGAAGCAATCAATCAGTCTCTTATAAATTTTATTTGGAGATTCTTCACATTCTTTTGAGATTGAATTAAAAGCAATACAGGCCAGGCGTGGCTCAATGGTTGAGCTTCGGCCTATGAACCTGGAGGTCACAGTTCGATTCCCGGTCAGGGAACATGCCCAGGTTTCGGGCTCGATCCCCGATCCCTGGTGTGGGGCATGCAGGAGGCAGCCAATCAATGATTCTCTCTCATCACTGATGTTTCTCTCTCTCTCTCTCTCTCTCTCTCCCTCTCTCCCCCTCTCTCTCCCCTCCTTCCTCTCTGAAATCAATAAAAATTTATTAAAAAAGAAAAAAAAAGGCAATATAGGCTGGCCAGAGTGGCTCAGTGATTGAGCATTGACCTATGGATCAGGAGGTCACAGTTCGATTACCTGTCAGGCCATATGCTGGGGGTGCAGGCTCAAGCCCCAGTGTGGGGCATGCAATAGGCAGCCAATCAATGATTCTCTCTCATCACTAATGTTTCTATATTTCTCTCCCTTCCTCTCTGAAATCGGTAGAAATATATTTAAAAATAAAAGCAATATATCATTTCCACCACATCAAAATTTTACAAGATAGGGAAAATATTCAGTTATGCCCACTAACATACAGAATAACCCTGGTAAACTAAAGAATATAAAGAAGATGAAGAAAAAAATTAAGGTAAGGAAAAAACTACCACCTGGCTCCCAGTAGCTGGCTTCTCCAATGACCTCAATTTCAAGTAAACATCTATTCAGATTATACTATTTGCTATGCTAGCAACTAATGGTAAAGAGAAACTGTCCTTATAATTTAAATTTTTGACTAACATTTCAGGCAAAATATTTAAAAATAAAATGTCAGTCTTATTCTTGTGTTTAAAAGTTTATCCTATTAGCCTCAACTAAATATTAATTTTAAAAGCATCAGCCATGTGATATTCAAACAAAATGTTTATTAGGTTCACTTTTGTAAAAAATAAAATATGACTATGTTGAAGGAGTAACAAAAGAATTAGGAAACAACAAGTAGAACTGATTTCTAGTAGGACTATTATTTCCTAGTTTATAACAGTTAAGCCCCAACCCTCTTGAGACATGGTTCCCCCATCTATAAAATGGGGCCACATTATCTACATAAATTTAAGAAAAAAAATTTTCTCAAATATTAAGTGCCTAGCAAACAAATGGTGCTTACTAAATATTAGTTCGGTTTCCTAATTTGATTCTTAGAACCTGAGAGGCTGTTGAAGATTTATAAAAATGATGTGATTAGACTTGTGACTTAGAAATATTTATCTGGCAGCAGATTACACAATAACTGTAAGTAAAAGAGATTAGGACAGAGCCATCCAATCCCATTAACTTGTTTTTTGGTTTTAGTTAAAATTGTTTAAAAATCTTAACTTATGATAAAAAGGAAAATTAGTTTGCGATTCTATAGCTAACAATCAATCAAGGGGAAAAAAATAAAAAGGTAGAATATGAGGTGTGTTTTTCCTTATTTAGAACAAAAAAAATGCAGACAACATACTTTAAAATGTACATCAAAAGAAAACATCTAGTGATTACTTCGAATTTTTATGTTAAATAGTACAAACACTAGAACTACATAAGTCCTTTATTAAACAAATATCTATTCTGAAAACGAAGAGCAATTCAAAGACAGTACCCTGCCTTCCACAGTTTAAGAGATAAAGTTATTAACAGAGAAGTTAAGAATGCAATGTCATATGGACCCGAGTATTGTAGAAATTTTCAACTATAAATCAAATCCTTGCCAGTCATACCTTTATTAGCACTTGGGTTGCGGGAAACGAGTTAAGTCGGCTCGCGTGAATTGCGCGTACTCCGCGGGAGCCGTCTTAAACTCGGTTCATATAGATTTGCGGTGGAGTGCGGGAAACGTGTAAACTCGGGCCGATTGTAACTGCGTATTACCAAATATTTCATTTCAATCGAACCCATACTTCAAAAGATATAGGCATTTTAACGCGCCATCTTATATTTTGGCTGGAAATTCACCAGACACCGTAGTGCTAATTAGTATTTCTCATGTTTATTCAAACACATTAAACTTCATTTCTGCTCTCCTATAAAATAATCCTCAAAATACTGAGATACTTTAGTATCTCAAGTTATAGAGTAAGACAGCAGAAACAAAACACTATCACAAAATGTATTTTTAAATACTCAGAAATAAAAGGGCCTTAAAATTAAAAGAAGATAAGTGGAGTCATGAAGTCATCACCCTGTCATTGATTACTGAAAACTGGAAGGTTTTTTATATAATAGAGAAATAAAACTATATATTGAGGATAAATTTTAATACTGAAGCTTTAACACACTGCAATTAATTTGATAGCAGTAGTCTCTGAATCATGAATATTAAAGTTTAAATTAGAAATGTTAGGCTTGTGTGACATTTATGGTTTTCACAGCAAATTCACACTACCAATTAGATACAGCAAGTAACATCTATGTCCTTCTTTCTAACAATGCTATTGGGCAGGCTACCTGCTATTAAGTCAGCTTCAAAGCTTATGTCATCAATCACCATATAGTGATTTTCGAATTGTGGTAGAAAAATTCTTTCACCTAGAGGTAGGAAATAATAATATTGGGCAAATAGAGTTGTTCTCTTTTCAAATCTCTCAACAGAGTAGTGCTTTTTTAAAAAAATCTGGTTTACAGTTTTACTTAACTCAGAAGCTTTAGTTTAAAAAAGTGTTTTCAGGTTTTAAAAAATGTTTGAAAAACCCTCGACTAGAAAAAAAATTGCCATCACCCTGCCCTCAAGAATATTTTGCCATTTGTTTAGGTGAGTATGTTATTACCACCTCATGAGAGAAAGAAAGCTTTCATGAGGTTGGCTCTAATAGGTTATAAGGGTATTTAATTTCAAACACCTGAATTATAAATACATGAATTATCCCCTCGCCTTCAACATCCAAGTCAAAATTGCCCTCCACTGACTAGCCAAGGTAGTTTTTCTTCTGTGCTTGAGAAAGAATCCATTGTTTTTTGTGCTCTCCACTAATAAACTAATGGCCAATGTCTACATGCTGGATGTTTATTTTGAAAATTCCTTTCAAATATATCTAATGGTAATATTTATGTCAATCTATTCATATCTTTCTACATTTAATGTAACTTTAATATAACTTGTTCTCATTTTCTTATAACTTCTAGCATCATTGCTTATTTTTACTCTTGAAGAAACCAAGACAAAAGTAGCAGTCTCTTGATGACCAATCTTTAAGCATTAGAACAGTTATTAAGCTTTTAATATTTTGCAATGCAGTTTCTCATTTTGCCTTTAGATAACCTTATTTCAAGGAAAAGATTAACTATCCTTACAGAAATTAAGACAATAAGAAATTTAAGTAAAACTGTCCTACAATTGTCTGCTGAAATGAAGCTATCTCTACAACTTAGTTTTCCAAGATATTTTTACTAAGCCATTCAAACATAACATGCCCCTTTTAATGGAGTTTTAATAACATGAAGTGGCTTTCTGCAAAAAAAAAAAAAATTTTTTTTAAGTTCTACAAGGAATCTAGGAAACTGAAAAAAATATTCTTAGTAATTTTGGTTTAAACTAAAATTTTGTTTGTACCTTTCCACAAAACTGTTGCATTCATTAATAAACAGTATGATTTCATAAAATATTTTTAATGTTGAAGTTATCATACTATCAGGAAATTCCTACTGGCTCTCCAAAATATAGCCAGAATCTATCACTTTTCACTACGTTTACTGCTATTACTCTGACCATCATCTCTGGTCCTAGATTATTCCAAGGCTTCTAAACGAATTTACCTGGTTTCTGCCCACCCACTTCCCTAGTTTATTCATTATCAGAGCAACCATATGTCAAAGCCTCTCATTCTTCTGCTCAAACTCTCCAGTGGCTCCTAAAAGTGAAAAACACGTCCTTTCAACTGCCTTCTCCAACCCTCTTTCTCTCTGACCTACTCTCATTCTATTTGCCCCACTCTCATTCTGCTCCAGTCACAATAAGAAACACTGAACTGTTCTTTGACATGTTAAGCATGTTCCTGCTGTTGCACTTACTTTTCCCAATACCCTTCACCAAAATCCCCCTTGCTTAACTCCTTATCTCCTAACATACTATACAACTTATCTCTTTATTACTTCTCATAAACTCTATCCCTTTCCCCACCCCACTTCAGGTTTAATAAAGATCCATAAAGGCACACATCTTTATTTCATCAATATATCCCAAGAGCCTAGAACAGTGTCTCTCACATAGCAACTACTCAATAAATGCATGAGTCCTAATAAATATTAAAATAAAAATGTTCTTTAAGTCTTTGGCAAACAAAAAAGTAAAGTATGTTTACAAAAGAAGTGCTGTAATTTATCAATCTAAAAGGTTTTCTAAAGGTATTTGTGGAGGGAATATACACATATTTTAAGGTTCCAAAAATTAAGTCAAAAATTAGACCACTAGAATGAAGACTATGATCTGTAACAATGTATTCAGCCAGAACAACCATCTAATTTTTATTTTCCACACAAACATTTTTAAAATCACATTTTATTATAGGAAATTACATTTTCATGACCTAATTACACAGAAAATTTTAATTACACACTCCATCTTCTTTAAGTCAAATAAATAAAATATCCCTTATATAAACAGATATTCAAAAGAGAAGACTCAAACCCATATATCCCACAATCTCAGGTAAACTTATCTAGAATAGTTTAAGAATAAAAATGTCAACTGGTACTGAAAGATGAATATGGTATAATACCACTATACTGTTATTTTTCTTAATGTTCATTGACAAATTAATGCTGTGAAAAATTAGAAAAGAAAATGAAAAAAATTTTTTAACATATATAAGATAGCTAAGTAATTAAACAATGCAATACCTGTAAGAGTCAGTCAGATTCTATAATATATCCTTTGACTCAAAGCATATAAGCACACAATCTTAAGGTTGAAAGGAACATTAAAAAAGTCATCATTCCTATGAATTAGTCTTTAGACAAGATTACAATCAGATGAATTGAAAAGAAAATCTATTAAAAATTTCACCCATTTATGTAGTAACTAAATAACTTGGAAGCATATCTTGGTAGGATTTAGGATTAAACTGTTAAGAGGAAGATTTTGTTTGTTGTGTTTTTTAACCATATTCCTAGCACCCAGAACAGTGCCTGACACACAGCAGGTGCTCAAATATTTGATGATTAAATGAATCAATCTCCAGACTGAGATCCTAAACCACCAGGCAATCTTGAAGTCACATTTATAGTCACAATTAAAAAAAAAAATCACATACTGCTATGGGCCTATAAAATTTACCACAGAATATTCTTATGAAAAGTATATTTTTTTCCCCAAGAACTATAGGCTACTCATTAACACAAATTATGGGTTTATAAACAGTAAGCCTGAAGCTCAATGGAAGTATTTCCAAATAGGAAGGTCCAAATAGGCAGTCCTCTGGAAGCTCCACAAGCCCTACTCACCAAAGGTAATTCTGCTTTTACCCATTTTTATCTTTTAACATATCAAGTATTTACTACATGCAAAGTTTCCCTTAATAAAATATTTGAAAACCAATGACCTCCTAAACCAGGGGTCCTCAAACTACGGCCCGCGGGCCACATGCAAATACAAATATTGTATTTGTTCCCGTTTTGTTTTTTTACTTCAAAATAAGATATGTGCAGTGTGCATAGGAATTTGTTCGTAGTTTTTTTTTTAATCTATAGTCCGGCCCTCCAACGGTCTGAGGGACAGTGAACTGGCCCCCTGTTTAAAAAGTTTGAGGACCCCTGTGACCTAAACCATTCACAAACACATTAACTGCCTTCCCTAATATTTAATCAACACTTTCTTCTAACACAGTGGTTCTCAACCTTGGCTGCACATTAGAATCACCTAGGAATCTTTTTAAAATTCTGATTTCTGGGCCTCATCCTCCGGAAACTGTTTCTTTGTTATGGGGTGGGGCCACAACATTAGTAACAAAGAGACAGAATTTCCGGAGGACAAGGCCCAGAAATCAGGATTTTAAAAAGATTCCCAGGTGATTCTAATGTGCAGCCAAGGTTGAGAACCACTGTTCTAAACTCTTCCTAGACCATTTCCATATTCTGTGGTGAAAACAGAAGAACCAAAGGTCATTTCATTTTTATCAACCTATGTAAACAACTCATTAGGTATTTACTGGGCTTAGCCACTATCTTCTTAGCTTCATGTCAGAGGTTTTGCGGGTACAAAGGTATGTATAGAGAAGCCCACTAAACCAGTGCTATGAATATGCTCACCTCCCTTCCAGGGTCTGAGTCCTTTCTCCTTACTTTGGAGGACTGAGAAGTAGGGGAAAGGATGTAATCTGATATTCAATACTGCAATGCTGTAGAGGAGGGAAACCATTATTTTCATTATACAAACTACATTAGGTAAGGTTTAACAATTTTCTTAATGATGGAAACATTAAGAGGTCAAGTAAGAATCTCAGGAAGGGGTATAGACTAACAACCAGACAGTAAATATTTTAGGTTTTGTGTTCCATACAGTGTGTTACAACTATTCTAACCTGCAGTCATAGTGCAAAAAAAGCCATACACAATACTTTAAAATTTGGATTTAAAACAGAAGTAATTCCAGGTGTGTGATTAGGGTAGAGTGGTAGAGCACAGTTGCCATTTTGAAAAATAAGAGTGTTTTTTTTTTTAAATTTCTGAAGATCTGGCTATAAAGGGTCTTCAAAGCAAAAAGGAATTAGATAGACCTTGTTATAAGCAATAAGAAGACATTTTAAAGATTGGAAGTGGAACGCAAAATTAGATTTGGTGGGGCACAAAACACAAGAGATGGACCAATACTGAAAACTTTTAAGCTCTTGAACTATCACATAACTGAAACGAGCAAACCAAGACAAAGAGAGTTTGGTGATTAGCTGCTAGATGTAAGAAATAAAGACAAATAAGTCAGTGTTTCTTTATGAAAAACTCATTGGTTTTAGCAATAAATGGTGGTATCACTTGACTTTCAGCTAACGTATGTCTAAAGACAAACGAAAATACAGAAATGAAATGAAGCTCATAAACTTCAGAAAATTATTTAAGAGACCATTTGATTTAATACTCAAAAGAAACATCCAAAGGGTTATATACTTAGTTAATAAAGAACAGACAGTTGGACCTTTTAATTCCCCAGATCATTGGAATGTTAATTTTCCACTAGTCTCTAGTCAACCAAAATAAAAAATAAATAAGTAAACTAAGGTATTATCTTGGCTCTGAAAAAGTAAGTATAAAAATAAACATAAAATTTTGGATCAACAGGAAAACAATGAACTACACTATATAAGCCAAAGTAGTTTTTCCTAGGCTATTTAACAATGCTAAATATAGCAAAGTGGCTATAGTAATGCAAGCATTATTTATTTCTTGATCATGCCTTCTATTAACCTTGTGTTAATACTTTCCCCCAAATCTCTCAATTTGACTCATAAAGGCACAAAGTGATGCTCTTACATTTTAACCTTATATTTTTGCCTCATCTGCCAATCTATCCTGCACTTCCCTGTGTTTTTGGGCCAGTGTCTCTAACCTACTTACATGTCTTTTTTCTCTCACTTATCCCAATCCTACGAAACTTCCAAATGAAATAAAGTTAATAAACTTCCTCCTTTATCTAAATTCCTTAACACCATTTTTAAATCAGTATGTAGTGCCTTAAATATGGTTTTTTACTCTGCCTTGAACTGGCATCTAACTATTCCTAAATTGTCTAACTCCCCAACAAAGCTATAAGCTCTTTTAAGGTAGCGATAGTTAATATTTCCTTGTATCACAGTGCCCAGCTTCCTACTAAAATATTGGTCAGGGGTATAATAAACTAGGCTAAATCTAATATGAAACTAGAAATATGAAAATTCACTTTTTACCGCTAATTCTTCATAATGAAAAGCTTAAGTATCTAACCATGTGACACATACCAGTGATATTTAAGGAGCAAAACATTAACAGCCTATTTTGGCTGTAGGTATTGTGGACAGTCAACTTCCAAAATACAATGAAAGAAGACCAACCTTGTTGATTGTCTCTCTTACATTCAAACTTCTGCAGTTAAAACATCCAAATTCCATTCTCTTCTGCATCTCTTAGTACTTGTAACTATTTACTCCTATAATTATAGTTAACTACCTCTTCAACTAAAGTCTGAGCTAGCCATCTCTAATTTATAAAGGCCAGGCACAGAGTAAATGCTAAATAAAGGTAGTCTGAATTAATGAATAACAAATCAGAGGCTTTCAAATTTTTTAATGAAGATGATTTCATTTTTCAAAGGAGATCTTACATTTAATTACATACATTTAACAGACAAAAATAGAAGCTGCTTTTGTCTGGGAGGGTGGGTTGTTAGAGAAAGTCTCAAGACACCCAGGAAAAATCCCTAAGGGGTCCAATGAACAGTCAGAAAACCAATGAAAGTTGAATTTAAAATTCTTACCATTATAGCCCTAGCTGGTTTGGCTCAGTGGTTAAGAGTGTCAGCCCTCAACCTACGAGTCTCAGGTTTGATTCCCTGTCTAGGGCAAGTCGGGGTACATGCAGGAGGCAACCAAGCAATGTGAAGATGTCTCTCTCACATCAATGTTTCTCTCTCTCTCCCTCCTCTCTCCTTCCACTCTCTAAAAATCAAGGGAAAAATATCCTTGGGTGAGAATTAACAAAAACTTTTTAAAATTCTTACCATTATAACTATTTTCCTTAATTTCGAATATGGCTTTTCCTGGCTTGATAAAATTATATACAACAACCTTCACTAACAAGTGTGATACCCAGATCGCCAAATGATGGATCACTTTACCAAAGTTTCTGTCCAGTTCTTTAAAACTAAATCCCCCTGGTGTACTTTAGATGTATTCACACGCATCTTTTAGGAAAAATAGACATTAGTGAAACAGAACACTACACAATGCTTCTTTCAGTCAATTATAGTATCTGCATAATTGCTTGGTGTATAAAGAAAAAAATCATAGATATTACAGCCCAAATAGATGACTTAAAATAATATCTATGAAAACTGAAATCGTGACAATTAAAACTTATTCTGTAGCTACCAAGAAAATCTCTATTATGCCATTTCATATTTAAGAAGTGAATACCAAAGGCAACACTTTAAGTCCTGCTAATGGTGAAAGAGTAAATTTAGTATGGTCTTCATGAGACATAATTTTTTCTTCAATTAAAAAAAGTGAGTTACAAAACTATTATTGTAACCTGTTCCACAACTTCAATTCCAAAATAGGAATGCAAATACAACATTTTATTCCTTAAAAACTCTTGCAGGTAAAAATAATTTATTTTCTCCAAAAGAGTAAGGGTACTAAATCTGCCTTTCAAACAGAAATGGGGAAGGGGGAGAGAGGGGCTGGGGAAAACATTTAGGATAAGTAACATGTGACACAATTAAGATAGCAGTTTTGCAATACATTTTTTAAATTGCCAGAATAATTTAAATGGGAGAAGTGGTGCTAAAAATCTGATAAAAGAATTATAATTCTGTGATAATGCTCTTATAATGTACACAGAATGACAAAATAAGACCTGCTGAGGTGGGTTAAAAAAATGTAGCTTACACATGACAAATTGATTGTTACCTAGTGTCATCTGTGTCATTCTAATGTCTGCCTTAAGTCAAACAGATCAATAGTGCTATTTCTTGAGTTACATGCATAGGCATAACTCATATGTTTAGTTATGCATACTCCAAGGCCTATGTAAGTTTTTGGCCATCTACACTTACTCCTCTCTTCCTCTGATGTACTATAGATACAAGAAACGTGGGTCAATTACAAAGAATAGGTAGAGGAAAAAAAACTGTAAATGAGAAAGCAATTTAAAATGGAAGCAAAAACCTTAATCTAGAAACTGTCTAGTTAGTTTACCTATATGGTCAGTATGTACATTGAAAGTAGAGCAGTTTTACCATATTAAAGTCAAACACAATGGAATTGACAGTGAAACATTTCCAAACACATTTTACTAATATCTTACTTAACCAAATGTTTTTCCGAATAGTTGCGCCTAGATCAAATTTTTGTTAAAAGAACCATTTTAAGTGGGTACCTAGAGAAATATTCCCTGTACTGAATGAGATCTTCGATGTCAATAAACACCCTCTACTATTCTTTCTGTCCAAATGAATATCGGTTTTGGACTTAAGTGGAGCAGGCACCCCCCCGGCCCCCAACACCTGTAGGAAGCAGCATAAGCAAAGATCAGTAAATACACCCAAGTATGTATTTCACCGTTTCACAGCTGGACATTCTTTTCATGATACGATCCCTTACCTACCACAAAGGGGAAAAGCCAATTACCGGTGGGAATTTAAACTTAAAACGCGCGTACACACCATCTGCACGCCTATTTCGGTCTAGTTTTAAAACACTGAAATTCCCATGTATCAAGCACGGGCCCACACTGGGTCTGTCAGACGGTACAACTAGAACCGTCTCCCCTTACAACTTTTCTCTCGAATTTTTTGCTAAACGTCCTGGTGGTTCGCCTTGACTCCCCGAGCACCTTGCAGCTTCAGCTGCACCGGGAGCCGAGCCTCCACCTCCCTCGCATGTCTAATAGCGCGGAGGGAGGGAGGGGGCGAGGGAGGGAGGGTGTTTCTCGGTGGGTAAGTGCGCGCGCGCTCCCGCGCGGCGCCCCACCCCCACCCCGAGACTTTTCTTTAGTGGAAAACGGGGAGATTCTCAAGGTGCTTCTTTCGGCGAAAACTCAGCATCAAAGCCTCACACCGGAGAGTCTACCACGACAGGATTCGGTGTTTTTTTGGCTGCGCGGTGCAACTTCGCACGCCGCGCCCCGAGTTCCCGCAGCAGCAGGAAGC